ATGGTTTGAAACCACCTGTCCTTCTGGTGAGAGTTGTGGAGTGGTGTTGAGATAAGATGACAATGAAATGTTGGCTGACATATGTGAATATAAAAAAATAATGTGAATCATATGCAATTACATTATCAGTCACTAAAAGTCAATGTTTATATTGGTGTTAATTTGGTGTTATTAATTTAGTTCACACTCATTTTGCTAGCAAACTGATTATTTAGAACAATAAACCCCCAAAATAAAAAAACAAAAAAACTAAGTACACTTTTCTTGCTTCTTTAGGCCTTAAGAGGATAAGTAGCAGCCAGACCTATTGTGTCTATAAAAGCAGACGTTTTGGCAGCTTGCTGGTCTAGAGCATTGTGGGAAAATAACTCCAAGGTCAGATCATGCAATACTCACCAAAAAAATAAATAAAATATGTACAAACACCTCATACCAACTGCCAAGCATGGAGGTGGAGAGGTGATGATTCGGGGCTTTTCTGCAGCTGTAGCCGTAGGAGTTTGCCATGAATTCCTCTGTATATTAAAGTGTTTTGGAGTCAAATGTGAGGCCATCCGTCCAACAGCTACAGCTTCACTGAAACTGGCTCATGCAACAGGACAATGATCTTAAGTGCACCATCATGTCTACAACAGAAAGTCTGAAAAAGAATAGGAGTAAGTGTTGCATCGACCCAGTCAAACTCCAGATATCAAGTCAACTGAAATGCTGTGGTGGGACTTTAAGAGAGGTCTTTAATAAACAAAAGGCAAAGGACTGTATGGAGTCCTATGAAGGCTCTTTTTAACATGTCTGTAACTGCTCAAGAAAAAAAAAACTTGCTTATTGTCCTGCAAACTGGTTTGAAAGAAAAGTACAATTTAACCATGCTGGATGTGTGCTGGAGAAACACTGAGAAGAAAATCTGATTCTCCAATAAAACTGAAATATATCCCAGAAAATGATGTTAAAAAAAATCTACAGGTTGGAAATGCTCATTACAGTGGTTAATGACAACTTACAGTTTATCTTTATCAAAAAAAGTCCTTCCCGGTATCCTCAGAATATAATAATCAGACTCTGTCATTGGGAAGAAGTGGGTAGACCTTGTAATTTCTAGTGAGTGGCTTCTTGATTGATATTTAGCTTTAAGAAGGGGATAATGGCAACAAAGTTTTTAAAATATGTATATCCCTAGTTCCAAAAAGGTTGTAAGGCTGTGTAAAATTCTAATACAAATAGAATGCAATGATTTCCAAAAAAACATATCTTTTATGCACAAAAAACAAATAAAAGTAAGACATTTTAAGAAAAAATGGCTCATTTTGAAATTGTTGGCAGAAACATGTCTCAAAAAATGTCTGAAAGAAGTTGGTAAGCAGCCATATTTATCCGTCTTCTTTTAACAACACTCCATAAACATCTGGCAACTGAGGAGACTGGCTGCTGTGTTTTGGGAGAGGAATATTATCTCATTCTTGCCTCATACAGAATTCTAATTGACCAACATTTTTGGGTGTTCTTTGCCATAGTTTTTGTTTCATGATACACCAAATGTTTTCAGATAGTGAAAGCTCCAAAATTCAGGCAGCTGGTTTAGCACCCAGACGCTTCTACTGTAAAGCCAAATTGTTGTAATAGGTGCAGTAAGAGGTTTATAATCGTCTTGCTGAAATATGTAGGCCATTCCCTGAAAAAGACATCATCCGGATGGGAGCATATGTTGCCCTATAACATGTATATACTTTTATGGGGCCTTTGCTAGATGTATAAGCTGCCAATTCCATAGGCACCAATGCACCCCCATACCGTCAGAGATGCAGGCTTTCAAACTGAGTGCTGATAATGAGCAGTTAACAAGATGTCCCCTCTCCTCTTTAATCTGGAGGATGTAATGTCTGCGTTTTCAAAAAAAGAATTTCAAATTTCATTTTGTGGAGCCACAGAACAGTTTTCCACTTCCTCACAGTGCATTTTCAATGAGCTTTGGCCCAGAAAGACAGCAGTGTTTCTTTATCATATTTACATATGGCTTCTTCTTTGCATGTCAGAGCTTTAACCTGCATTCGTGGATTGAACTGTGTTCACAGAAAATGGTTTCTAAAAGTGTTCCTGAGCCCATGAAGTGATTTTCATGACAGTAGCATGCCAGTTTTTAATGTAGTGCTGCCTGAGGGTCTGATGATGAGGGGGAAATCCAATATTTTTTAGCCTTGTGCCTTGCACACAGAGATTTCTGCAGATTCTCAGAATCTTTTGATATTATGTACTGTGGATGATGAGCTGTTCACAGTCTTTGCAATTTTTGCATTAAGGAACATGTGGGAAAACTCCAGTATATATATAATGTGGAACTACTTTGAAATTGTAACATAATTTACAGACTGGTTTTTTGGGGAGGCTAAACCTCTGTATATCTTTACATATGACTAACTCTGCCTGTCTAAGATGCTCCTTTATACCGAATCAGGTTACATACCTCTTGCCAATTAGTTCCAGAGGTTCAGCCCAATGTTTCCATCCAGGACATAAAAAAGAAAAAAAGAAAAATCATTTGTTATTCAAGTTCAGTGCCTTAGATCACTCAGTGTGAGATTATTTGAAGGGTACAACATTTAAATTCTGAGTTTTAATTTAACTTGGGTTACATTCATAAAAACGACTGTGTAGGAGATATCCCATTAACACAGCACTCAAAATGTAGGAGTTCAGAAGTAACTGATAGCTACATGTCATATTTAATATTATGTGAGAATCTTTTTCTTCTTTTACTATAACCACCTTCATCTCACGGTGGAGTCTTACTGCGTTTAGATTGGTCTAATGTATCTTAGTCAGAGTGAGATCAAGTGATTAAAGAAGAATATTCACACAGAGGATCTGTTTGATTTGCAGATATGTTTATGGCTCATGTTCAGCTGAATATTAAAAACTGTCCACAGCTGAATATTAGCATGATCCCAACACTCTGGTGGCAGCACCCATATGAAAAAGATAATTAAAAATAATGATATATACTGGAGTTTTTGCATTAGTTAAGGCTGTTTTTGTAAAAGATTGTGGTCATAAAAATAATTTGATAAACATGCAATATTTGTCTATGAAAGGTTAATCACCTAACAAAATGTGCAAGGAAAAACAGGAAAGCCAATAAACACTGATCTTTACAAAGACACCATGCCTACAATGACTTATTTTCTTTTACCGTAATGTTTAACAGCACTGTTATTTCACAGAGAAGCTGGTCTGATACCAAGCATATACAAAGTACACCAACAATATATAGCAGTAGCTATGCACAGCCATCATTAGAGCCAGATTTTCAACATATCTTGCAGATAAAGCACTGACAGCTGACACAGTTAGTATTCACAGGCAAAGCAAGGGAATTAGCTAATTAACTAACAACTAATAATGAGCTAATGTGCATTTAGTACTGCTGTTTGGAGGCAGTGCATGAAAAAGTATGTGTTACTTGTTGTTGCACTCATGCATAATGCCTGACAATTTGAAAAACAAAATTATAAAAAATATGCCACTGGTGTAGTAGTTCTCTTTCATAGCATTTGTTTCGTGTCTCACTATGGGAACGCCTCCTGCGTAACTACAGAAGCTCAAATACCATTACGCTGCTTCTGGTCAAGCCCCTCCTGACATGAGCCTGTAAGGGCTGGCGTAATGGTATTTGAGCTTCTGATGAGGTCACGCAGGAGGCGTTCCCATAGTGAGACACTCACTCATGCTACTCAGAGAACCGGGGTTATATACATAACCTTAAGTTACAGTCTGCACTGTAGACCCGCTTGCTGTAGATTTTGCCATGTTGTTAGTGTTTTTCAGAGAACACAACAGGGAACACGACTGAATTAATGGAGTAATATAGATAAACATGACTTTTCTCTCTGTCAGTCAAGGGCTTTTGTTAATACTACGAATTTTAGACTCTAAACTTGATGCTGTGATGATTTCTGTGATAATGAATTTATGAAAATGATGCCTACTAAAAACCAAAGCAGCCATTAAAAAGCATACAGCAAAAAATATTATAGTGTGAAGCTGCAATGCCTTCTTTCATGTCCCAGTTTTTATTGTCTTGCTTTTTCTTTTCTTTTAGATTGTACTAATGTAGTTTTTTTTAATATGCCACTATTTGATTGACACTTTCAGATATAATCATGTTATTTAATATATTTTCAATGTGAAGTGATAGAGAAGACTGCAGTACTCCCTGGGCAATATATTTTATTCTATTCTCATATGAAATTCACCTCATCAACCAGAAGTAAACATCTGAGTAGCATTTGCATACAAAGTTTGCTGGTATTGGCTTGCTGTTACCAGAGTATGTAGCTTGTTGTGCAACTCCTAATTTTACTTTGAGGCTCTAATGGAATATAAAATAAAAACCTAACACAGTTTTCTCTTTCCACCAACATACACCTGCCAAATGCATCACATTTGTGCAACAGCAATAACACTAAGTGCAATACTCTTTTCTGGCATCGTTGTATTATACTCAATTGTATAAAGCATTTGTATTCTATTTTATTCGATTGTATATAGTATTTTATTTTATTTTATTCTATTCTATTGTGTACAGTATCTCATAGATATATTATTCCAGTGTTTTTTCTCTAATTTTTCCTATGCAACTTTGCACTGTCCACTGCTGTAACAAAACAAATTTCCCACACGTGGGACTAATAAAGGTTATCTTATCTTATCTTATCTTATCTTATCTTATTTCAGAACAAAGCATGCATCTGCAAGTGATGACATGCTTGCACTTTTGTTTTAGGGACTTTGCATAAGGAAAGTGCCAGTTTGTTCCACTGTATTCAAGAACAGGGTATAGCAATATCTCCAAACGATAGTACAGTAAAATTATTCACATTTGAGTCTAGGGTGAATTGTCCCTTTAACTGTATTTATTAATGCACATCTAATTAAGGGAACCCTGTGACACCAGCATATTTGTATTCTTACCAGTGCTCTTTTTCTTTTTTTTTTCCATGTTCCAGAGCTGAGAAGCAGCTCGTGTGGAAACCCAGGAGTTCCGCCCAAAGGCATACTGAATGGAACTCAGTTCAACGTAGGTGACAAGATCCGCTACCGATGTGTCACAGGTTATGTCCTTGATGGGCATTCGCTCCTCACCTGTGTCACCAATGCAGCTGGCGTGTCAGTGTGGGACTTCCCGGTGCCAATCTGCAGAGGTGAGGATACTTGTTATTTGAAATGAGTTACTAATTGCATGTGAGGTGAAGCTTGTCTTTTTCGAACTTTTTTTTTTCCCATCTGCGCAATGTGACTGCGGGATATCATTGTGAATACTTGATTTTATCTACATATTCCCCCAAGAAACTGAAAATAAGTAGGTGATTGGTTTCTTTTGACTCCCTTCATTTGGTTTCCTCGAGTTGCTCAGTGTTAATTGCTTTTTAAAGATTGACAGTTTGATGGCTGTTTTGTCTGGGCCACAGATGTAGCAAAGTCTGGCATAAGTCCTCATTAGCGGAATAAATATATTTGCAATCTGATAGGAGGGAAAAATTTTAATCGTGTAGTGGAAGTTGATTAGAGTCTCCATGGCTCAAAAGGTTAATTAAATATTTATTCCTGTAGAGCAAGTAGCTTGTATATGTTAATACTGTTAGGAGGAGCTGCATGTCCACTTGGTTTGTGCAGCTGTATGTGGGCTATATGTTGCTGCTTTGTAGTGACTGTAGGTTTTTTTTTTACCCATTTATCCATCCATCTATGATTTATATAGCAAATATGAGCACCCTATAGGCTATGAGGAAGCTTCTCAGTCAGTTGTCTAATCACTTTATACTACATAAATTCTCCAAATTGGAAATAACACGAACCTATTATTTATGAGCGAAGAGCAAGAGCCAAAATCAATTTAAAGCATTAAGATCTTTAAGAACGAAGAGAAGAAGAAGAAAGCGTATCCGTGACGACTCAGTAGCCTTTCTGACTTTTATCAGAATTTCATGTTTTTTATTCTGTTTCCTTATTAAAAAAATTCCCAGTACGTATAAAATAAAAATGTTGCCCGAATTCAGAAAGTTGCTGTACATCTTTAATTTGCCTCACCAAGCTCTTCTGCTCATACACCATCAACATAATGATGCTTTTTTTCTGACAGGTGGTTGATGAATGACTGACTACTATTCTTCACATTATGCAGTTTACCCCTTTCTGTGAGAGCCGTTCCCAGACTGACATAAATAATCCGCTCTCACATATGTAGAAAGCCGCTGTGGTGGTGTGACGTGCGGTAGGAATTGTAGGTCACATTAGACTTTCAAATCTGTCAAATGATTTTGACAGACAGGTCATAAAAATATTTTCATTTCAATCTTAATTTTTATTTATTATGTTGAGCTACATTTGAAAGCTGTATTTAATTTTCAAAAACAACTCAATTACAATAATAACTAATATGCAGAACATTTATGAGAGATTTGAGAGAACAGAGGAACACAGACTTCAAAGTCACTTCTTTCAACACCACATGAAGCAAATGATTTTCTTTCCCCTAATGACAGCAGAGGCCACTAAAACACCACCGCCATTGTGCCTACGCAGGCAGATATGGAGCTAAATGGACTTAAACTGAATGCTTCCTTGATCGGGGGATATTATTGCTGAATCGATTGTCATTCAGTTTTGCAGCAGACTTTTCACTCCTGATTTTATTCTGCAGACTGAACCTGCACTCTGCTGACACACTGGACATTGAAGCCAGCAGCATAAAACCAGATTTTTAATGTCAGGCAGCATTTTCTCCAGGGACGTGAACAGAAGTTGACAAGACTGTGTAAACATGGGACTTCCAGTTCCCGTTTGCAGGATCATTACCAGGGTGCAAGACTAGCTGCACAGCTGTGTGCCCCATTACGAGCACAGACACACTCTTAGATCGTGAGGGAAAATTCTACAATGCAATCTTGGATGTTAAGAATGAGGCAGATTTTCAGTGCTTTTAGAACAGTTTTCTACAGAGTAATGCATGAAAAATGTAATGTTCTGTTAAATTGCTAGCACTTAAGAAAGCACTAGTTGATATCTCATTGGATATGGGTCCAATCCCAATATAAAAACCAGGATTTAGAGTCATTTTAACAGGCAGATCTAGTTGTTATTTATTTCAGCTCAGTTCCATTTTTACGTCTTTACTATTGCACAGATCAGCAGCGGTGCATTGAATTGCTAACTTGGCATCACAAAGCTAAGTGTTTTTGTATGTCATATTTATAATATGGTGAAGGTTGTACATTTAGCTTTTCATTTACTTTTCCATGTTCCCTTTACCCCAAAGTTACATTTGTATAAGGAATATTATTTTGAGCCGGGGAAAATCTTTTATTTATTAATTCGTTTTTTAGAGACATAAAAAAAGACGTAGTTCACCATATGCACATAAATATCGGAGGAGGAGGAGAAGGATTACAGGTCATTCCTGTGTGCAGATTTCTGCCTTTCAATGTAACATAAATATCTGTTTTTTTGTTGCCTTGCTGATGTATGAATATGCAGGCATAGCTATCTTTTTTTTAAAAAAAGTACCGTACCTTACAATATTTGCTGAATTAAAAAACAAAAGCTTCTGACTTCACTTTTCATCCTATAGTTTTCATTAGCTGGATGAAAAGTGTGAAATATTTGAATATTTTATTTTAATACATTGGTAATTTTACATTACTGGGTCTAAGTCATTCAAAAGTAAAGAGTGAAGAAAAATAGTTATAAAAATGAAGCGAAGGTCTCCCCACTCCATCTGAATGTGAGATTCTAAGAAATCCCAAAGCCAGCAGAGCAAATTTGCTCATGCCAACTCATTCTACAGTGCAAGGCACAGCTAAATGAAAATGGCTCAGCATATGTTTGAAAAATGGCAAGCTTGGAGCAAACAAAAAGCTGCAGATGGAGGGCTCCTTTTCATTTAAGGATGGTGTTAGCTTCTATTGCCACAGGCCAGAAACATCGCTCCTTTCAGGCCCGGGCACTGCTTGAGCCACACTCTCTCTCGTCTAAATCCAGGCCGGCTCCTGTATGTGGGCAGATGGTCCTTTGATCTCGTTTCCTCAGAGATCCTGCCCTTTCTGCTCATCACCTATTGTTTCCCACTAAACACATGGCTGCAGAAAATTTCTCTCCAATCCACTGTTCACCCCTGCCATCTCCCAATACCTTAGTGTTTCAACCAGTTCCCATCTGCTGTTACTTTCTCCTTCTCGTTCACTTTTCTTCCAGCATTCTTCTGCAACCCTGTCTAACAGCACGGTCAAACATTTATGCTTGTAGAACCTACAGAAATAATGATGATATGCATCTACTTGGGCATTTTTTGAGATTGAGCAGCTGTGGCGCTGACTCGAATTGGATGCTAGATGGGTGGGGAGGTAGAAAGTATCACTTTGGCTGCACCAACCCTCAGCCGCACCTGAGTGGACAATCACCCCTCACAAGTTAATTGCTACATGATTTTAAAATCAAACCAACACTGCAGTGCTATCTCAATTTTAAACAGTTTTGGGGAAAATTCTGCTCTGTTTTCGTTTTAGATAACAACGTTATCTAAAATCAAAATACTAAAGATGCAGTTAATTCACCTTTTGCTATGAGCTTATCTGTACTTCTCAGTTTGTAAGAGACTGTCTGACCCGAACAGCTTCAACAACCGTCTGTTTCAGTTCTGTTTTTACAGTTGATTACTGAGTTTTTACTGGGGAGACAGCGTAGGGGTTTCAGCCATGTTTGCTTGAAACACAACACAAAGCTATCAGAACATGCTGCACGGCTGGCTACATTGATTATAAATGTGAACATTATACCATACTATGAGGAATAGCAGACGGGGTTTCTGCCAATGTATTACAAGCCCAGGGGGCTGCTAGGGCTAAGCATTTTTTTATGCAAGGCTAAGGATTTTTTTAATAAGTTAGTGAATGTATCTTATTAACCTACTGTTGCCATTAGCTGTTTTACGTCCAAAAATCTATAAAGAAAATTTAAAAAGGAAATAAAGAGAAGCAGACATATGATTTAACCTTATACTGTTTTACCTGTTCCACTGATATCTGTCCACTAATCATGGATTTTGGCTTTAGCTGTCTTTGCCTTATCCAAACAACTATAATTGTGATTCAGTGCTCTCTTGATGGCAAAAGCTGTAAAAGTGAAAAATAACTATCTCTTTCTCTGTGTCTCTGTTGCTACCTACTGATGCACCTGGGCCAGCAAAGCTCCGCTTTTCTGTCTATGACTCACATTGTGCGTTATCCAACCTTGCACACCTCTCCACCAACACCACCTGCATAAGCAAAATTAGAAAAGTGCAAGAAGATGACCAATACCAATACCAACCTCCAATGCAAATGCTGTGTGTAAAGATGGCTAATGAATCTTTGTAGAAACCAAATTTGACCAACATTAAACATCATTACTTACGAGCGTGGAATTATCAGATATGAGAATATTTGCCTTAATTAAATTAAAATTGGTCACTGCAGTGTTAACCCAGAGGGCGCAACATAGAAGATGGAGAAATTACCACAATTTTCTTTTGCTCAATATCTCTGCAAGTCAGACTATCAACACACTAACATCACATTTCTTTATTTCTGTTATTGAGATCATGAGATTATTCTCCATTTAGTTCCTGTGAAGCTAACATATTGCTACTATAGTTATTTTTCCATATAGATCAATTATAAGTATGTGTTTCGCAGCTAGCACTGCCTTTTTTAAAGAAACAATAATGTGTGAAACAGCCACAGAGAATCAGAGCTAAGTAGATATGAGTGGGATGGCATAAAAGTCAAGTCTGAAGGATTGATGTAAAAGAAAAAAGAATAAACTCCAAGCAGAGAGGCTGTTAGATGGAGAATTAATGGCTATTCTAATTGTGAGTTACTGCTTCTCCTCCCAATTGCCCGTTTTGATTCCTTCAATCTAAATTGTCTCAGGACATTCATTAAACCAGGCAGTGAGACAGCAAACAGGGACAGCATGGCAACAGGAGAATATGGTCTATTGATACACTGTCATTCTTGCTGCCAGCAACTGTCTAACAGAATAAAAAATTAGGCCACAGAAAACCTTGCTTCTTTAAAACATTTTTGTGCCAAATAATGTGAGTAGACGGGACTAAACACAGTTCTTCCTGTCATACCTTTTCAACTCTCTACTATGCAAAGTGGGA